TCATGTAAGCAAGAGTTAACCAACTATATATTTTTTTTCCATTTTGTTTTAATGTTGTTTTGCTTTTTTACAAAAAATATACCTCCTCATAAAAGAGTTCATGAGCTGCCAATGTACCGCTATAAATTAGGAGCAACAGGGCAGTTGAAAATCACGTGAGCTGTCAAATCAGCACAAAGGAGTGCAAAGATCAGCAGTGTGCCTTTGGTATCATGAAATACCAAAGTATCAGACTTAACACTAAAAGTTTCTCAGATTGCGAACAACAGTTTGTTCTTAGTTATTCAGACTGTATCCAACTGTTTCCCAGTAAGAAATGATGACATTTCAGTGATATTTGCTTGGAGTTGATGTCATCATTTCTTACTGGGAAACAGTTGGATACAGTCTGAATAACTAAGAACAAACTGTTGTTCGCAATCTGGGAATCTGCAAACACCTCCCAAATAAACTCAATTTACTTTTTTTGTCTCTTTTATAAAACACAAACATAACAGATGCTTAAAAACCTGATTAGACCACTGTCTAACCCTCCAATACTTTTAATTGGATTCATTCTAAACTGCCTGGATATCAGTACTTTTCATCCTATCACAGTAGTATAATCATAATCATAATCATCATAATCATCATAATATCATAATCATCTAAATGGTTTGTTACATAAGGTTACACATTTAGTGCCCGCAATGCTGGATGAGCAGTTTGTTTCTCCAAGTCTGTTCTGCAGTATAAATTTTAAACAGCTTGCATGCAAAAAAACCTGAAAGATTGGAGAATTCTTGGTATTTTCCCCAACAGAAAACAGATACTTCAGAGTGAACAATAACTAAGACTTTGAAATATTAACCGAAAAACTGAAATGGGTGTACTTTAACAAGAAAAATGGTTAAAGTTCAACAGAAGAACATGTTTTTCTCAGTTATTAGTTAGTTAATGGAAGATATTAACATCCTATATTAACATCACATGACAGGACTGGGTGTAATAAATATGTGGACATGGGGTAAAGGAGCACAGTGTCATCACATGCGAAGGGACCTGGGACACCAGTAAGGCAACACTAATTCCAGCTGCTCTCGCTCTCTGGCATCTCTCTACTGCAGGCAGTTTGAACAGAGGACAGCAAGCTGTTAGGACACAAGCTCTTGAATCTTGAGACCTCTGGTCTCGAACATTTCGGGGGGCCCGTTTTGAGGACAGTTGAAATGCCGCAAAACAATACTTTGAAAGGGGACCGTGCAAATTCGGAGCTCAGCGGTGAAGAATGGCCGTGTTCCAAGGCTTCAAAGAATCTTGCTCCAGGCTTTTCATCACCTCAATGGAGTCCAGAGCCTTTTGGCAGAGCGGTCTCCACAGGGTCCCGCTTACACATGGAGACTTTGGGTGACCAGTCGGATTTGGCCCCAAAGGTTGAGACCAAGCTGTATCACCGTCGCTGGTTCATGCTGTTTCTCTTCAGTTTTGTCTCAGCAAGCAATGCCTTCATGTGGCTACAGTATGGCATTATTAGCAACATATTCATGCGTTTCTACAACATTGATGCTCTGGCTATTGACTGGTTGGCCATGATTTACCTGCTCACTTACATTCCACTTATTCTGCCCATCCTCTGGTTCTTGGACAACAGGGGCATCCGGGATGTTGTCCTCGTCGGGTCAGCCTTTAACTGCATTGGCGCTTGGATAAAAATCGGTAGTGCCAGTCCAGATACTTTCCCAGTGACCTTTTTTGGCCAGTTTGTGTGCTCAGTAGCCACAGTGTTTGTCCTCGGTATTCCTTCATACCTTGCCTCTGTGTGGTTTGGAGAGAAAGAAGTTTCCACCGCTTGCTCCATAGGAGTTCTGGGAAACCAGGTTTGTGTGAACTCTGTCAGTATTCAGCATCTATTTTTTTTGTCACAGGAGGGTCTGTATAGTGAGGTCAGAGCTGTCTGACAGCTGCCTGTAAATTATGCAGGGCAGACTGGATGTCAGGGTCACATACGACTGCTAATCGCTGCACCAATTCACTTTTAAAGGTCATCCAAATCTTCAAGTTGTGTGCTCTAAATCTGATTTTAAACTAAGTTATAATGTAACTAGTTAAATAAAATTCTAGGCTCAAATGTCTTCTTCAGATTTATTGGAGCTTTGATATCAATGTCATAAGTGATGTCATCCAGCTCTGTGTACAATTACTTCAGTCTACTTTTGCTTCTCAAGAAGGCGACTGAAACTCTTTTGCCTTCGGTCTAAAATGAAACAGCGAGGCCTTATCTTATTTTCCTAAATCACACAAAAAGAAAACCCAAGAAGTCCTCTACAGACACAAATAGAAAACATCTGAGCAGGAAGTCTGAGGTCAGTTGCAGGCTCAGGTCATCAGGTTCAGCAAAGCGGGCTATACCATATGTGACATTTTGCAAACTCAGCAAAAAACCTCCCTGGAATAGAGGAGCCTGTTCTAAATAGAATCATTCAAGGCAAATAACAAGTATTAAAACTTTTTAATACGCACTGTGTAAAGTTACAAGGCATGTACAAGACATGGAAATAATGGGCTAAAAAAGCTAAGATTTTCAGTGTTTTAATTTAGTGAAAACTGTTTGTGGCACTTGTTTTCTTCTAATTCTGTTAAATTCTTCCATCGTCCTACAGCTGGGTATTGCAATCGGGTTCCTTGTGCCTCCTATCCTGGTGCCTAATGTGGACGACATGGATGAGCTGGCTCACCACATCCGAATCATGTTCTACATAACGGCAGGAGTGGCTACTTTACTCTTCGTCCTTGTTGTCTTCGGTAAGGTAATCACGAAAAAAATCACAAAAATCACAAAGATGGTACTTTCTTATTTCGTTCCGGTGGTTTCTAGCTACACAGACGGCTTGGGTTATATGTGTAATCTCTTGGTGTCTTCACAGCAAAACCAAATTATTGGGTATATTATGTTGGTTGCACTGAAACCCTTAATACTCATCTTCCGATGGGGGTCAGGGTTTTTGATACAATGCATTTTCAAAGAAAAGAGTTGAAGCCTGTGGTTCATTATTATTTCAAACACGATTTCTAGCTGCTTTGTGCAGCACGAAAGAAACTCTACACAACCTCCACCGTAGTAAAAACTGTGTCCTCAACGCCTCTGCATATAAAATGAAACTTTCCGCATGGCTAGACATCATGAAGCACAGAAGCGTTTTTTTCCCGTCAGGTTTTCGAATTTACATAAAATTGCATGAAAATGATGTTACTGTACCGTGTAACCGAGGATTTTTTGTGAATGGTTAAAGAGTGACATTCGGTGGTGCTTTCGCTCCTGTCTGCTATAAAAGGCTCGGGCATTTTGACATGTATTGTATGAGGTTTTTTCCTACTTCATGCCCGTGGGAATTTCTTATTGAGTAGGCTGACCTCATGAAGGTTTTAATTTACACCAAACTTACACTCTTGACAAGAAGCACCATTCAGTGGACCAAAAAAAGTGCTGACATGGATGCACGTACAACACAAAACCTTAGTTAAAAGGGGACTTTCATAAAAAAAGATATTATTGTAGCACAAGTAAGGTCATCAGAAGTGTACTGAAATCCATCGTAAGTCATTTGAGCTATGGACATAAGAAAAAGAGAACTCAGCACTTTGTGGCAGAAGGAAGTGACATGACAAACAGCATGTGATTGATGAGGAAAAAATGCTTTGCTGTGTCTTTATATATGATTCCCCTTCAAATGTGGCATTTGTTGTGAAACCCAGAATCATGTGCTGTGCCATTTATGGATAAGATAAAATAACAGTACGAGTGTTTAATCAAAATGCAATAAATATCTTTTACTTTTAAAAACACTGACTTGCTATAAGGAGCATGTATGAATATGCTGTTTTCCTGCAGCGGGGTAGGGAGGGGCGGGGGGCAACGACGGAGGCTGGCGTTCCTCATAAGCATTCTGCATTCCTAAACACAAAAGGATGCTTGTGAAGGAATTTCCTAGTAGTACCATGCACAGCATTTAGACTGACTATACAGTCAGTGTTAGTGCTTTGGCTATAGTCTGCTGTTGTTAATGAAGCACTATGAAATGCAAACCTCAGCTTATTCAGTGCTTATGTGACTGTTCGGTCAGTCACATGGTGTTTGCGTTCATAAGTACGCTACATAATTGACTCTCGCTGTGTCAAATTTGCCTGTGACCCACTAAACAGTTATTTATGGTTCCTAGAGTAAGGTAGGAGGACTCACAATGCCTCTGTTTATGGTAAATACGAGGCTGGAGGTAGATAGTTTAGGTTAATCACTGGGTGAATGTGTAGCTGCAAGATGTCTGCAAGTTGAGTAAATTCCCCTACCAGCACTTTTGTTAATTTATGCATTATTATTTGCCCAAATAATGTCATCTGACGTTTCAGAGGGATTTTTTTGTGTAATGTGCTTGAACTGGCTCAGTTGAGGTCAGTAATTGCAGTTTTATTTATTTTTTTTAACATTTCTTACAGGTACTTGTGTTGGTTGTTTTCTTGCTTCAGCTACATACAGACACAAGTGACACTGATCATCTCATCTTCTCAAAGTGTATTCTCAAAATATCCAACCATTATTAGTGTAGCTTATTAAGTTTTCCAGTCACATGACCGCAAACTACGTGACATGTGCAACAGTGTAGGGTCAAGTGAATTAGACACTAGTCACACAGGCCTAGGAACTGGCCTGTGACCACCTGACAAACTCTGATCGCTAGGGAGAAATATGTATTTCCTGACTGGCTGAAGAAAACCTTCTTGCAATTGCTTTGGTCACTAGAAAAATGCTTCAGTGGGCCGTAGTTTGCATGAAACACATCAACTTGTCTGTAAACACTCTCCAGCTACTCTCCAAGGAAAGAAAACTGTGAAAGGTGCAACACAAACTGGAAAGAGAGATTGCTTCCCTTCAAAGGACAAGTTACTCCTTTTAAAACATAAAGCCCAGAGGCACAACTTCTGCATATAAAGCAAAGATTTCCTATTTCTTGTTTGTGTTGCACTTTGTAAAATAGTGCTACTGCTTAACTAGTAGTTAGCGTGTAATTTGTCAGACAAGTTGGCATCTTCCATGTAACTAATGGCACCCAAATCACTCCCAAGGAGGATTTGTTGCAGCACTGTCTTTGTTATCGATTTCATCCACCATGAACCAGCAACCTTAAGGAACCAGTCACCAACCACATGCAATTTATTCTTTCTGACCAGTGGTTGTATCATATTCAATATAGCACACAGCCTTCAAGCAATGTGGGCACATTCCTCATGACCAGTGGTTAAATCATTTTCAATATGAAGAAAACTGTCAAGTAATATGTGTATGATAACACACAATAAATCTCTTATATATATAAAAAAAAAATAGCTCGTTTGCGGGCTAGCATTTACATTTTTTTAAAGCGAGCTATTGTGAAAAACTTTATATTTGCAGCTTTTTTATTTTGGCATTATTACTGTGACATTGTAGTTTTGTTTTTTGTTCTGAAGATGAATATGGCCATATTTGGATAAGAGGACATGCATATTTTTGAGCTAGCACTAGCTAGCTTGCAAGCTTGCTTCATAAGGTGTTGATGAAAATTTTGACTTACTGTCTACCTATCTAGAAAATTTGACTCAATAACCCAAAGTTACATATCTCAAAAAGTTCCACTTGCGTATCTTGAAATTTAAACGTACTTAGAAATAACTTTTTTCTGTGGCAGAAGTAAGCTAACGTAAGCTACCTTTAAAAGTTATTATGATATAATAATGGATTGGATTTATATAGCCCTTTTTCAAGGCACCCAAAGCACTTTACAATGCCACTATTCATTCACACACTGGTGGAGGCAAGCTATGATTGTAGCCATAGCTGCCCTGGGGCAGACTTACAGAAGTGAGGCTGCCATACCGTGCCATCGGCCCCTCTGGCCAGCACCAGTAGGCGGTAGGGTAAAGTGTCTTGCCCAAGGACACAATGCCCAGGACAGAGAGCCCGGGGATTGAACCGGCGACCTTCCGTTTACAGATACGCTTCCCAACCCCCTGAGCCCCTACCTTTGGCTAATAAAAAAAACAGACTTAAAACAAATATTCTCCCCGGAAAAACTCAGCTAAGCTCCATGCAGTGCCTTTTAGTTTCAAAGGCCTAGACACAAGCAGTACAGCTTGGCAGACATGTTGCCTCAAATCCAGACTTATCTACTTGAATGTGGAAAGTGCCATAATTCTAATTTCAGTGGCCACCAGAACATAAAAACTGCATACTTTGAATAACTGTTAATATTTAATAAAAATGCTTCAAAAGTTTGGCAACTTTACACCCAAATGGGGTCATTTTTTTCTGCTACAAGTTACCCATTACCCACAGTTTCACAACATTATAACTTGTGAAGTGCTTGTGATTTGGCACTTCTGTACTGGCTCAATTTTTGAGTCACAAATGTTGCTATGTGATTTCAACACATATAACTCATCCCAGGGTGGCAGAGGAGATTTTTTTTCCGTTATATATATATTTTTTAGAGGCCTGAAGTGGCAACACTGTGCACAGTTATAAAAAAGGAGAATGTTTTATTGTAGGGCCTTGATTTTTGGATCTGCTGACATTTTAGCGAGCAAGGGATGTGACTTATGCTGTTCCTGGTTACTCTAGTGTGAAACTTGACACCAGGTGGCTGCAGTAGTTTAATGACACATATATACTAGCTCACCCTCATGCATACATGCAAGATGCCATGTGTGAGGGTTGTCCTGCTGGCAGGACCATCTGTAGTCCTGCAAAAGGGCTGTGAGTCAGCAGGGCAGACAGAGTCCCAGGATTGAGAAATTTGCATAAACTGTGAGGTGAGAGAAGATGCTTAGCTTCTGCCTTTCTTTAAAACAATCGTATAAGTTAAACTTGGAGACCGTCTGCTTTGACATATGACTACTTACTGTTTACTGAAAAAGGAGAATTACCATGACGATGAAATCCAAGCCATATAGTATATTTTACCTGTGATCAGTCTGAGAACTCCAAAGGTTATTTGAATAGAAATTTGCATTCTTCCATGTGCAGTGATGACTACGCATACAGCAGTTGAGATCACGGTATAATTTCAGTCCCATCACCACCATTGGCAGATCAACTGTGTAAAAGAGTAGGACACTTTTGGAGGATTAGTGAAAACAGCTTACTGTACACAGACCCTCATGTGAGATTTGCCAGAAGGAAAAAAGGTGTCCCTGGTTCAGTTACAAGAAATACAAAAACACACATCTGTTTATCCCTACAAGGCCGGGGGCACGTAGCTCCACCAAGATGTCTTCAACACCAGACAGTAGCTGATTTTCACTGGAGCAAATGAGAGTATAGTGGGTTACATAGAGGCGTTAGAGCCTGTCCAATCTTGCCTGAATGTGTCACTGGCTCCTTCCAGGATGAAGCCTGTGGCCCTAGGGAGGAAATATAACCCTGAACTTATTTCTACCACTTAGCATTGATTGATCCTTTGAATATTACAGGTGGACGTATCCACCAATAGAGTTGCTTCTTATTGCTTTCCAGTTTTCATTGTAAGTGTGCAGACTGCTGCTGTTTACTGTGTTTCACACTGTTGTCGATCTTTCCACATGTCAGTTTTCCAGGAGCGTCCTAAAATTCCACCGACTCAGGCCCAGGCCACAGCTCGCAGCATTCCACCAGAGCAGTACTCCTACATAGCCTCCATCCGAAACCTGCTGCGCAACAAGCCCTTCATGCTCCTCGTCGTCACCTATGGTTTGTCATTACTGTTCTCCAAATTTTTGTTAAATTATGTTGTCATTAACTTTTTAGAACGGGCTAAAAGACATTAAATCGTACGTTGCATAATTCAACATTAGAAATTCATGAAAATATGTTAAATTTTTTTTGAAGGCGGATTTTTACTAAGGTAGTATAAATTCCCATAACCATGGTTGAACAAGCCATCCCAAGTGAAAATGATGTTATCTGTGGTGATTCCTCCACAGATATCGGGTAGAATCACACCTGAAAATTCCCTTCGTAGTGCAATGGTGTTTATCTTATCGCAGATTACGTAGTCCTCAGTCATCAGCTATGACAGTATTCCTCGAGAAGATAAATTGGATTTACCCTAAGAGCTCCAAAGTTCATTTATAACCTGACAATGGTTAACACGTGCGTTCGGTCAATGTGACCTTAAGATCCCGAAGATCAAAGATTTGATGAAGTGGAAGGAGTCTGAGATAGGAATTCATTTATTTTTGGGAGCTCTTGGTTACTTGAGCAAACAAAAAACAGAATGATAAAGTGTATTTTTGAAGAGATAAAGAAAAAATATATAATCTAGGTTTTATGTTGCTGGAAATTGAATGTACGTAGTTGCATTTTGGCACACAGTTTAACCAGTAACTCAGTAATCTTGAGATTGGATATGTTTCATTATTTTATATTAGTAACAAAAATAATACAAAAAAAAAAAAAAAGTACAAATATTATCCCAAGGTGCATTCTTTGTTGGGGTTTTCTTGTCATGTGTCTAATCTTTCTACTAATATGTTTCTGACTCTCTGATTATCACACCTGTCCCTGTCACTTTAACTGAGCTGTAGCTGTAGTGCAGGGGTGGGGAACTCCAGGCCTCAAGGGCCGGTGTCCTGCAGGTTTTAGATATCACCTCGGGTCAACACACCTAATCAGATGATTAGTTCATTACCAGGCCTCTGGAGAATGAATCATGTTGATGAGGTCATTTAGACATTTAAATCAGCTGTGTTGGATCAAGGACACGTCTAAAATCTGCAGGACACCGGCCCTTGAGGCCTGGAGTTCCCCCAAGCCTGCTGTAGTGTTTTATTTTTTAGGTGGGGACACATTCAGTACACATTTATCCTCGTTTTAGAAACTACTCCGATCAGGTTTATTAGAAACAACTACTAAACTTTTTCATCATTCAGTTAATGATGTTAGTTTCATGATTCCTGAAAAGTGGGAAGGTGAAAGATATTTTTGTCCTGTGTTTTTTTCTGATTTCAGATTTTATTTGATGTTATTCCCTATTTTGCAGGTCTGAACGTTGGTTGTTTTTATGCTGTCGGGACCCTGCTGAACCGCATGATCATCGTGCATTACCCTGTATGTCCGTTTCCTCTGCACTCATCTCAAATCATTTCTATTGCCTGTAACTCTAGTGACTCTTCAACAAATGAATAGTTAGACTTAAATAGTCAAGTATAAGGTTTAATATTATAAACTAATGTAACTTAAGTTCAATAAACAACACTGTAATAACAGATTTATCACAGCTAAACCAAGTTTGGAAGTTTGTTCGCTTATAAGCTCAAACCAATGCTATATTTAAGGCATAGGTGCCATTTCTCTTAAATCGTTTTATAAGTTAAACAACAGGAAAAGGGAACGATCTTCTCTGTTTGTAGTACTAAAAAGGTGTGTGCAACCTCCTTGTGTGGATCTCTAGTTAATGCTTGTAGATATACAGTTTTTGGGCACTGCTCATTGTTCTCGGCTTTTTTAGGGAGAAGAAGTGAACGCCGGGAGGATTGGCCTCACCATCGTCATCGCAGGGATGGTCGGCTCCCTCATCTGCGGCGTTTGGTTGGACAGAACGAAAACGTACAAGTAAGGCGAACATCGAAAAGGGAAAGTACATTAGCAGCAGTTCTTCCACAGGGGGTGTTGTGTTTTGGGAAAAAGAAGACAAAGGGACGTGCAGAGCAGGAGATAAAAATCAAACGTTATTTGTAACGAAACTGAAAAAAAAAAACAAAGCGATGGGCTGATAATCTAAAAACTTACCACTTTTTCCGTGCCACCAGAAAGCAGCCAAATGAGTGCTGTTTTTTTGGGCCTTTTTCACCTTTTTTGACAGACATGGTGAAGAAAGGACAGGAAAGCAGAGGGAGAGAGAGATGGGGGAGGACATGTGGCAAAGGGCTGCAGGTCAGATTCGAACCTGGGCTCGCCACTCGCAGTCGTATGGAATGTGGTCGCCCGCTCAACGCACTTTGCTAAATCGGCACCTGATTGTTTATTGTCTTCTCCCTTCTGAACTTGGCGTCCTGCATATCTTGTGTTGCGTCTCTATATCTGTTTATTCAGGTGCAGCATCCTGCTACGGCAGCGACCTCTGCACTCTTCCTCCGGCCCCATGTGCTCTCAGGCTGTGTGGTGACAGCAGTGTCCACCCAGTCGACTCCCTTCTGTTGTAGCTACAACAGCTTTGTATTGCAAATGAGGGGGAACGCAATAATGTTTAGCTTTATTGTCTAATTCCCCACATTGTAATTATGCTATTACATTGTAATATTTATGAATGGTGTTCATTCATAAATTTATGTCAGTTTATATTTGAATATTATTACCAGTTCTACAGGACTGCATTTTTCATGCTTTAGTATTTATTTGTTATGAAGCTTTGGATGTATAAAATAAGCTTTCTTTGAGACTGTGTGTTTAGGGGAAGCAAACGGAGGTGGTGTTTACCTTCAGTGTTTGTCGCCCATTGTATTGAACTGTGAGATGTGGGCTCACACGAGGTGTGGAATCCACTTCCTTCCTCTCAATACATTTACAAAGGCCTTATTTTGTGTGACAAACAGTAAAGCAAACAGAAAAGGGTACCTGCTATTGAAAAGATTACTCCACAGCACACCTAGTGGCAAAATATTGACATTGACGCCCATGCAGGCAGCAATCTTTTGCTGTCAATGGACAAAAAAAAAAAAATGATAACAGCCGTTCAGCCTTAATACAGGTTGTCTGAGGTAGGGTTGAGCTACACCCTTGCACCTCCTCTTTTCTCAGGCATTAAAAATGTTATCCCTCGACATTTGCCCGTTAGACTTTGCTCCGTTTTTCTTTGTTTGTTTGATTTATGTCAGATTTCTGATTAATAAATGTGGCATACATGAAACAGGACAGGAAGCAGTCTTGCCCACACATAAAAGATTTTGGAGACACAGATTAAATGAAATGCAGGGAAAAAGTATACCCTCGTGCTACAAACATAAGCTGAGGGATTTCCCTCCTGGAAAAGCAAGTTAGCCAGCCCACATGAAGCTAAAAGCCAAAAATGACTTGTGGTTAGCTGTGTAGGGTAGGTAGGAGCATTCGTTTTGTCTGGTGGGTGGAGCACAGAGGAAAAAGTGAAGGAGAGAGAGCTGGTTTCGAACCCTCCAGCTGACTGGGGCCTCTCTGTGTGGTGTCTTTTTTTCTTTGCATGTTCTGCGTGCAAAGGTTTCCTTCCACAGTCCAAAGACATGCATGTTTGTTAATTGGTGACTGTACACTGGTTGCCTGTCTCTTATGTAATAGGCTGGTGCCTCTCGCCAGATGACAACTGGGATACACTCTAGCCCCCATCCCCCCCACCCCCAGAGACCCCAAATTCTCTAAATTTCTGGCAAATACTTGCTGCAGCTTTACGTTTTGTTTCTTTTACTTGCAAAACTGCCGCACTACGTACTGTTACATATGTGCGTGCAGTCATAATGATCACTGCTGTGCTCACAGTGACATGTATTACTCATGCTCTTCTTTTCCCCAGGCAGACGACCCTTGCAGTCTACCTCTTGTCTCTGGTGGGGATGATCGTTTATGCTGCTACACTCAGCCTGGGACACCTCTGGGTGGTTTTCATCACCGCTGGAGTACTTGGGTATTCTTTTATTGTTTCTTCTAACATTTTGGTTTTTTGTTGTTGTTTTTTTACACAAGTAATGTCATTAAAGGACTTTATTTCTACTCATTTACTACTTTGATTCTACTTCAGAACACCTTTATTTCTGTGAATCGAGAGAGAACAAACGCCCCTCATGAATATAAAAATTTTGATAGATACTGTGGATCTGTAAAAAAAAACAAAAAACCCAAAAATAACAAAATATGGAATGTATCCGTAGTAGGCAAGTGAGTGGGCTATTGTATTTGTACATTTTAAAAGTATGTATAAAAGTATGTGTGCACACTTTCGATTCAGCCGTTAAACCATGCAAAAATCTTCCGTCATGTCCTAAATTCTGCTGCTGGTCATTTCCCTTGGCCCGGTACCTCTGTTGACATTTGCAATAATAATTTACAGCCCTGGTTGTTTCAGCTTCTACAAACATGTAGACCCTACAAAGTTTAGACAAAGGCCTGCATTTGCACCTAAACTCATGAGAAAAGGAAAAATGTCCTTATGTAAATACATAAATATGTGCATATATGTGCATTAGTTTAACTTAACTGAAATGTGTTTTATCAAGAAAACCCCCTCGCAGTGATGTTTTCCTGGAAGCCCATGCTGCAGAGCAAAACAAAGCAAAACAAAAAAATAGAGACAGCGAGAGTATGTCATATAGTAATAATGGTGCAGGATTATTTCAGATCACAAAAATAAAAATACATAACCTCTATGAACTGGGAAAACCAAACCATTTAAATGTTTATGGGGGAAATCATCTACTAGGTTTCCTCTGGGTTGCCTCTCTCTTCTTGGAATTAAAAAACAATCTTGTTCATCCAGTTTAACCTTTATGTGGCTGTGAAATGATTACACCCTCAGCAGCACACAGTGATCTTCCAAATTGGAATTCCTTTCCTCTGGAAGTGCATCTGCATGATCCATGGCAGACATAACTTTAGCCTTGTTTTTTTTAAACAGCATTTTTTTAAAGAAATGTGTTTGACATTAAAGGTCAGCGCGTCTGCTGCTTTGTAGTCTCCGTATCATATTGACAGAAGAGAAGAAATGTGTCTGTCTACTGACTCAGACTGATGTGTTTTGCTATTGCAGCCATGTCAGAGGCTTTTGATTTGAGTTTCACTTGCTGTCACTTTAGTGGAAGAACAACACCCTGCTGTTGAATGAGAAAAAGAATCTGATGTGACTGGACTGCTTTGAAAAACCTGCTGTTCCTGTATAAATTCTCCAGTGTTATTAACTTGAGACAACATGAGTGTTGATTTCCTGGAAGAACAATCAAATGTTGTAGGTACAAAGTGTCCATGCACTTGTCAGCTAACATGATAAGGGGCATTTTATTGAACGGAGCCAGTGTCCTGTTTACGCATTTACACGTATAAAACTGTAGCAACAAAGCGAGCAGCAATTAAATAAACTCACAAATTCTTTTTTATGCCTATTGTGGATCCTTGTGTCCAGGTTCTTCATGACGGGCTACCTGCCACTGGGCTTTGAATTTGCAGTCGAACTGACATACCCAGAGTCAGAGGGAACATCTTCTGGCCTCCTCAACTGCTCAGCACAGGTACAGATCAATGTTTTCAGTGTGATAGCAAAAAAGAAGAAAAGAACCAATGAAATGATGGATGTAAGCTGTGTTCCCTCCATGGAAAAAGTGAGTCATTCAGCCTGTTGCTCTGGAGGAATTGACTCACTATACTGTAAATGCAGGTTTTCACGGGAATTTTGGATATAAACAATAAAATGGGATTTTGTTGACGGCTGGCATTGCTTTGGAATAACGTGCTTTTGTGGGGGGGTTTGGCATTATGAGGCAATTTTGACTTCCTTGTTTATATATTTATTTCGTAGTTTTGTTTATGCATTTGTAATGCCTGTTCATAAGCAGGCAAGACAGATTCTCTCAACATCACGGCAACTGTGCGTGATATATTTGCAAAAACTCAGTGTGTAGTTGAGCTTCCTTCATGTGGTGCATAAACATATTCGCCAGCTGCAGAAGATCCAAGATGCATGAAAATAAAAACCGAGTTCAAGGACGGGGTTTGCTCTTTATCCTTCCCGGGTGCGTGCAAGCGCTAGCTTTAATCCTAACTACCCCATGTTCTGCACCCACACACAGGTGTTCGGAATTATATTCACCATTTGCCAAGGCAAGATCATTGACAATTACGGCACGCTGGCAGGAAACATCTTCTTGTGCGTCTTTCTTCTGATAGGCACAATAATGACAGGTAAGACCTCCGTGACTGTGAAAAATACACAGTTTTGAGTCATAATAGAGTACTGATTTAATGTCACACATACAGAAATGCACAAGAATTGTCTTTGCTGTCACTTTATCCTGTTACGAGTTTACTAATACTCCTGTGTAAGAATGTCACGTTCCCAGAAAGCAGGACTTAGTTATGGTGTAATTTGGAGGAATACTTGAGAACATAATGCTATTTTTTATTACACTTTACACATAACAGACAAATTTGTCACCTCTTACAAGAAGGCTGTTTGCAGCTCAGATAAAACAGAGTCTGCGGCTTGAGGTGGCATTCTGCGTCATTCTTCATCATCGCTAGGAAGAGATTTTCTTTGAAATTAGAGAACAACAAAGCTGTATACAACTAAACTGTTCAGAGGGAGGAGTGGTGAACATTTTCTTAAGCCCTGGAACCATTTAGTAAAGACAGTGCATAGCTCTACAGACACGCACTCAGCAGGGGTGTGTTTTCAGGTAATAAAGGTGATTTCAAAACCACTTAGGAGATTTTTCATGACCCATCGATGGGTTTAGCAGCAATGTTTAACTTTTTAAAAATGCCTTAACCTTTAATGACACTTCTTAAAGGTCAACAGACTGACTCACTAACTGCTTTTTGTTCATATGAGTAAACTTCTTGTTGTGGTCATGAAGCAAAATGTTTGTAAAAAAACAAACAAACAAAAAAAATCCGCCCTGCTCTCCGATTGGTGATAAACCTTTGTATGAACGTACATGAAGGCACCATTAGAAGGCAAGGCTGTGATTGTTTTTGTGAAATAGTCTCCTCCTTCCATGAAAATTGAAGTTAATTATTAAATTACAATCACGCTGTTTTTTTTAATAATTGGTTTTGACCGGAGTTTCTCAGCAGGCTTTGTTGTTTTTAGATTTGCATTGGTAGCCACACACTCTTTGAAAATAGTTAACAAGGTGTCTTAACTTGAATGCCACTATTAAGACTTGAACGTGTCTGTGCATAGGAGCCACCTACTGGATAGTCACTGTTATTACTTTGTTTCAATAAACTGTTCAACTTGTGTGAAGTAATACGATCCTGTTTTGCTTGTGTTCGTCTCTGTGTTTGCAGTGGAGGATCCATCAGCTAATGCAGACTTACCCTCTCTCTGTCTTTCTTTTTATTACAGCTTTAATCAAGTCTGATCTCAGGAGGCAAAATGCTAACCTGCAGGCCAAAGCAGCCGTAAGTTTTGAAGCAAGCCAAGTGTGTAGCGCTTTGCTTGTTTGTTGGGGATATGAAACAAAAGCGGTGGTACTATGAAGTCAAATAGGCCTTTTCACGAAAGACATTTTGACATGTCAGTGTAGGAAAAGCATTTTATTCTTCATCCTTTGGCTAGTACCATGTACTGCAACAGATGCCATAAATAAAATAATAGAGTGTCAAAATGTCTACTGTGAAAATGATCCATGTGTTAAGTGTTTGTCTGTCGTGAGCGATAAGTCACCTGTGCATCCCAGGCTCCACAGAGGAGGACTGTTTTTTGCCTTTGTTTTCTGTGATCCTGCATGTCTGCATCAGTTTAGCTAAAAGACGCTGTTGAATATTCACTGACTCTGTTGGCACTCTGCACACTTAAATATTCTTATGTAAACTTTTATGGAACTTGTCAGCCGTTATGACTTTATGGTTGCGATTTTCTTCTGTTCTTAAGTCATTCTGTCACCATACATTTCTTTCTCTTTCTGGGTGGGTCTCCAAGATCTGTGGTGAAGTTGCTGATAAGTGCTTAAAGTTTAATTCCTCACATATATATAAATGTGTTTCAGTCTCTCAAGCCATCTTAAAAGGAGTCAAATTAAACTAATTTTTAGCTCAAGATTTTTATACTTGGACTCTACTAAGACTTCTTCTGATTGGCTGCCCCTCACAAATGGAGCATTTAAATAGCAGGTGTCTGTTTAAGATGACTATGTTATTATTACATTATTATTATTATTACATGTGTACATACTCCGGCCTCACTATTTGAAGCTGATTAGCACGAGCAACCACTAAACATATATGTGTGTGACAGATCAGATTCTGGTGAACTTCACTCCAGACTGGAGCCCCACTCCTCTATAAACACTGAATGAGAAGTGATCAAAAGCATTTGTTTTAGGCGGAGAGGCACAAGTCAGGACAAGACTACGGAGCCACATCGCTAATCTCCGAGCAGCAGACTTCTTCTCAAGCCTGATCAATAAAAATTTTCTGCTTCCACAAAAAAAATAAAAAATGAAAAAAAAATCTCAAATCTTAGCTCATCATAAAGGTGCACAAAGGTAGGAGCACAAAGCAATCACCACACACTGCCACTGATCAAGAGCACCTGCTGTACACCCTTTTCACTGTTACACCTGTTTTACTGTCTCTATGTGTTTCTGAGGATCGTGCAAAAGAAATCATAATTACACAATCATGAAAATCATGGGATTTTTGATTCTTCCCCATGAAGCCCTGCTACTGATTTTCTCAGTAGCAGTTCTACTAAAATCAGCTAAAGTCACTTAAGGACAATTAAGTCAGCTGGGGGTAATCATTAACCCCTGCATGAACCTGTTGATTCCAAAACACTTCCTCACATTGGATTACAGCTACTTCTAACTATCCTATTTTTGAACAGCTGACTGGCTTAAACTTTCCTCATAAATGCGAATGGCACTTCCATATAGAAATAAAACAGCGCGGCTTATCACAGTAGGAAATCAAGAACGAGATCATACAGCTCATCATGCTGTGTGATTCACTTTAGTGTTCTTGTGTTTTAGGAGGCCAGTGTGTGAAGTTGCTGCCTGCGGCATGGCTTTGATTGGATTTGAATCACAGCGTAGTGTTTGTGATTTTTCAGATGAAGTCAGCGCGGTACTGCTAATTTTCCTGTTCTTGCCTGTTGTTGCCTTTGCTTGCTTACAGCGCTGTCCTATATCCTACTAATACCACCAGAGATTTCATCTAGTTAAAAGTATGGACGCTCAACATGAATGGAATAAAGTCCTTGCTAGTTGGATCTTTACTTAATCCTTTTTTTCACTCCATCTTTGCTTTAGTTATTTAAAATGATGAACATGTAATGTATGTGAAAAGAAATTAAAAATGACATTATAGCAATAACCAACATTAAGCTGATTACAGTCTTTAACAATAAGAAAATGTTGTTAACTACTATCTTCCATCTTCATAACTGATCTTCTGCCTTTCTTTAAGAGAAAATCAAACCTGTGAAGGTTTTTATTTTTTGTATGAAATCTTTTCTACTGATTTAACAGTTGCATCGTTTTTGCCTCCCAGCATGCTTTGATTGTGGCAAAAAACTTTCAGACATTGATTTTTGCAGTCGCATGTAAAATGTACACTGGATTGAGGCACACTTTCTGCTGCTGTTTGTGCAGTGCCATGAGGATTTTATTTCCCTTTTTTGCCCTGCAGACACATAATTTTATCTTTAAGTTTTCTTGATCTTCGAGAGTCTTTCTTGATTTCCACAGCTGGTTTTTTACTGTTGGTTTCCGGTGAAATTTGCTCTCATTTATGATAATAGTGTTCAGTCAGCTTCATCTTTGACTCGAGTGTCACAAAGGTTTTGAAGAGTCAGATGGTTTACAGCGCTTGAACCTATCTTATCTGTTAATTAAGGTTGTAAGCAGGTTCATTTTACAAGTAAGGAATGTGATAAAACCTTTGCATTTGGCCCAATGATAGATTTTTTTCTACAGTACATATAAGGGTAAACAATAAAGAAAATTAACACTTGAAGCATCTCATTTTCTGCCTTTCTGTCCTTTGTTGTGTATTAACACAACAAAGGACAGAAAGGTGAAACATTTATATTTATTTAAATTAATTGACATTTTTGCAGTGCTTAGATATGCTCTAACACATAGCACAATTCTTTTCTTTCACATTTAACAAATTCAGCTATATATAGGCTAATTTATCTGGCTTAGGGTGTTTCTTTACATAGTGTGTATGAATGTGCGCATAAGCTATCATTAAGTTTAGCTGAGCTTCAAGACACTACCGTGACCTGGATGACTGAGAATGTACACATATGTGTCAGGCTAAAGTTTACTCCAGAGACTCTTTTGGTGGAAGCTAGCCCAAACAGACTAAAGTCTACAGAGACAAACTGTGTTTTTTGTGTTGAAGGCATTAAAAAAAACCTACTGATCTGACCCATCTCTTTTGATTTCCAGGATTCTTCCGACTGGCACAATGGAAGCCTGAGTGCACCTTCTGTTATCCTCGAAGCCAAGCTTTAGACACAAACACACTAACAAGCCTCAAAAATGACCGTGATCTCATCCCTGTTATAGTGCAAAGGAAGCCTTTAGATCAACTTGACGGCTAAGAAAAGCTCTTTGATCTGTATAATTACATGAATGAAAATAATGTCACTAATCAGAAATATTTTTGTAATATTTAAATATAAATGTTATGAATGAATCTGCGAGACAAATCTGAGAAATATGTAAATACAGTGTAGGATTTCTAGAAATTTTAGGGAGAGATTTTTTTTATGAAATTAGGGAACTATTTATTTAGAATTCAGGGAAAGATTTAGAAAGGTTCTCTAATCCATAGCTTCTACTGTGAGGGAAGAACAGGAAAAATATGATGAATTAAGGTTGTGTAGTATTTTTGTAGCAATCTTGTTTTACTTTAACATGAAATAAAAGCATTGCATAAACATTTTGATTCATTTGTTTTTTTTCCTCATGCTTGTTGCATGCAGAAACACAGTGTGCTCACCGTTACAGCATAACTCAAACACAAATGCACCACACCCATCACAGGCCTGAGAGTAGAGACATGCAGTATTGTTACTGTTACACAGTTTTAGTGTTTAAATCATTTTTAGATGGAAGCATCTGACTAGACCCAAATTCGTTCTGCAGTTTCACAAAGATCTCATCAAAATACAGCCGGAGCCAGAAGTAAAGTACTCGTCTAAATGACAAGAATGACCCAAGAAGACTTTTTGTCGTAGCCTTTATCTCCACATTGTGACATCAGTCTGGCATTACAATAACGGGAATAAGACACGGAGATAGCCTAAGTTGATAGAGGAGCTGGTGCCATTCATGTGAAACTAACTGCCACGTAAAAACTGATAGTAATGAATCTGCTATTGAAATGTGTCATTCTGTTATCTGGATCCTGTGAACTGATAACACGGTACTGAGTTGTGTTTAAAGATAAACACATCACTGTCTTACAGTACACAAATCTACACGCACACGCTGGGACTATGGTTCCACAGGAACTATAGTCTAAGTTGCTGACGAGAAGATGAAGTCATATGTGGGTTTTAACTTATCTTGGATAAATCAAACAGCACATGGCAGAGCCCAGCATTCTTCCTGGTCTGATCTAAACTTCTTCTTCAGTTCTAAGGTCAAATGGTGGGGAGTCCCAGATTTAAATTCCTGTTGCATTTAAATTCCAAATGCAAAAGCATGATGTTTTTCTGTCCTTCAGTGAAACAGGGAAGCACATCATACCCATCTGTTTGCTCTGATGAATATAGGATTCAACTGGATCACAGATTGCCATTGTTTATCCAAATTCCACTTTACAAATATACATGCAAGGCTTTGTGTACCTCATTCGACCACACGGTGGTAGCAGTGTTACATAAAGACAGGCACAGGATCGTCTGGGGGGGAGCAAAAAGAGAATTCATTTACATTTTGGGGGCTTACTGATTGCAATGAAATTAACTTTAAAAGTGTCTGGTGCAGATTAACCTGACAATATTTATCTTATGCATAAAGCAAGATGACAATGGTGAACTTCTCATTGGCATGAAGAGATAACTGGCCTCTGAGCAGTTTTGTTATGAGATCATCCTGACTTAAGGCCAGTACTGAGAGAGCCGTTCTTGGATGATCTCATTGTTCTCTAGTTAGCCTGTGACTGATCCTTTGGCACAGACATGTTTCTAGATTTTGAGTCATGGGTTTTTCATGGTGCTACAGGTTCATCAGCTTATAAATATGTGGAAATACTACTGAGCAGTAGTATATCAGTTCTGCTGTCACTCACTCCCCAGCAAGGCTGCTTTTATGATTTTATCAAATATGTCAAGAAGAGAAGCTGTAGAGAGAATTTCTGGGGCTCATATTTTTGCCATGTACCACACAGTAGACACACAACTAGGAGTTTTATTAATGTGGAATACATGAACCGCATGCAGAAAGGTCACAAAAGCATGAGGACAGGCAGGGTGTGACCTCTGTCTCACTAGGGAAACTTCTGCCCACCCACGTGTAGAAATGGATGTTTGAATAAGGCCCCTTGTACCAGTATGACATTTCAGAGCTGCTTGGAAGAACTTACTGTACATGCAGGAGGAAGGTTGGGTCACTTGTTTCTTACCGAGTGCTTCTGCTTGTCTTTTGTCACTTCTTTAGTTGCTTTAGTTTTCTCCTCTAAATACCAACAAGTGTGTGTCTCAGTGGATTGAAGTTGCATGGAGGTAGAAACATTTTTTCTTCTTGCCAGTTCATAAAACAGGGCCTGTCACAGATGGAAAACCGCAACACTGTATTGGGTGAGCTAAGATATGTAATTTTATACTGGGTTATAAATAACAGGTGTGACATTGCGGAGCTGAAATAAACCAGGTGAACATTTTTTAGGTTCCTGGGGCTCAGTATCACAGAGACGGTTGTTAGACATCTCCACTCTGGCACAGAAAACTTCTGAAAGAATCTATACAAGGCTGAATTTCCAGGGCTTTCTAACTGGTAAATAGGTGCAACAGACAAATATCTGAAGAGTCTGTAGTGGGAGATTAAAACCACCCTGATCACCATTGGCACCCATCTACCAAGCAGTGTAGATGCAGTTTATATGTATTTGCGTAAATGCATTTTTGTTATACAACAGTGTATTGCATAGTGGTAAATGCTCTCCTGGATCTCTCTAAATGTTATTTAAAAATAAGCCTGAAAAAAGAAGCCAACTGGACTTTTTTAAGTTTGTAAAGACATTTCACCTCTCATCCATGAGGCTATTTCAATTCTAAAAACAAACGGTGGAGAGTCTCAGATACCTTGGTCTGGATGAATGAGAATGTAGGAAATTGCTCAAAACAACCCAACAGACCAACACTTTTGTGCAGCACCCATCCAGCCTCTTATCCAGTTCAGGACCACTGGAGGCTAGAGTGCTGGAGCCTATTCCAGCTGTCACAAGGTCTGAACAGGGTGCACCTTGGACAGGTCACCATCTATGAAAGGGCACAGAGAGAAAGACAACCGTTCAAACTCATGGCCAATTTAGAATCAAACATTAACTAAACACGCCTGTGAGGGGATGCCAAAGTACTCGGAGAGAACCCACGCAGGCATACGGAGAATTTGCAATAACTCCATACAGAAAGGACCCAGCCAGCCATTGGCTTCAAACCCAAAGACCTTCTTTGCCGTGGGGCAACCATGGCAACGAGCGACCAAATTTAGAAGTCACAATCACAATCGACATTCCTTTTTTTCTAACAACAGATATCTTGTAATCTTATAGCTTTTAGAGATGCCAGCAGGCATTTCTCTTTTCAATATAACTCATGCTAAACTAAGCTTACCACTTTAGCTAGGCCTGTACTTAAAACACACACACACATAAACACACACACACACAGAGCATGGGCCAGGTTAGTGCTGGCCTCACACACGAGTGCTAGATCATGCTATCAAAGTCTCAACAAGGAAGTAAATCATATCATCCAACAGCAATACTCATTTAAAACAGAGCCAACTCAAGATAAATGGCACCTTCCTGTTTTTCCCCCCTTGAGCCGTTGTTGTAACACACCTCATGGTGCATACCGTCATATGGCCCGCTCCTAGACATGCTGAAGTATGGCCTCGTGGAACTACAAAACTGCCAGTATTACCAGCATTACCACAGGATGGGTGATGGTGTACCTCACTCTGTGGCAAGATGATTTGTTTTGCAGTGCATGATGGTAAAGTGCGTCATTACCCCGAGAGTGCTAGCTCACAGATATTATCAGCTATCCACACCATGATCCATCCTGCACCCACAAAACCAAAAATACACAGTTTAAATTCTACACTATATTTAGCTTGTGCAGGAGAGGTAGCAGGAGGCAAGCTTTCTGTAAGCAGTTGTTTATTTCAAATGAGGTTTAGGGACTAGATTGTAGGCCTGATCACAGCCGGTTAGAAACTTGAAATAAGCCATCAGTTTGCCAGTAACACGGCCGGTTAGCGTAAGAGTGCAGATAACCATCAGACTCACAAAGCATGGATCGGACAGAGAGATGTGGAGAGAGGAGGCCACGGCGATCACGGCATGACACAGTGCCTCCTATTTGTCTTACCTTTTCAAACAGCAGCGGAGATTGATGTTGCTGGCCACATTTGACACACAGTAGTAAAGAGGGAGCGGTGTGGAGCAGAGCGCTGACACACGGGTGGAAAAAAGAAGGATAGACAAAAGTCAGAAAAAGAGAAATGAGAAAAACAGAGACAGGCCACTAAAACACAAGAAGGTCTAGCTGACAACAGGGATATCAAAACAATGGCAACAAAAAGACCTCGAGGAATCTTGAAACTTGGGAGATGAAAGTATTACCAGTACTGAAAGTGAAATTCAAGCAAGTGTGCTAAAGACTTTGTCATTCACAGATGGCCACTCTGCGTGTTTTGGAGAGGCTGCTCAGCGAGCACCTCATCCCTGCACATTCTGGAGAAATGTAACTCGCTCGCAGATGGACTGCAGAGAAGGGAGGTGCTGCTGTGAAGTCAAACTGTAAACTGAGTCCTGATATTTAACACTGGCCTGGCGCCAGCAAAGCAGCGCTTGGTACCACTGTTTTCTTCTTCTTCACTCCACAGAGAAGATAAAAAACAGTCTTGTTTGTCTTTGTTCAGTCATTTTTTTTACCCAATGTGAGCGTGTATGTGTGTGGCCTCCTGTAGTTGTTTAAAAACACGAGTGAGATTTTGTCTGTTTGAATGCTAATGAGTGTTGCTCTCACAGTAATATCCAAAACGTCTTGAGTGACTCAGACTTTCTTACAATTTTTTAAAGTGGTCTTGAGCAATAGTTCTATAGGCTTTCTGGTCTCCAGCCATGAGTGCAACACGGTGGAGGCTCTGTCGTGGTTTAGAGCTGCATTTCAGCCAGTGATTTTAGAGATCTTGTCAAAACTGATAAAATTATGAACACACAAAAGCATCACTGGATTTTGATTAAACACACAGTACCACGTGGAAAGAGTCTGATTGCCAACAACTTCATTTTTCAGTGTGACAATGATGCCAATGCAGTAAAAGCACACCTGAACAGAAAAAGACAAAGCGAAACACAATCAGTCATGGATTGGCCTCCCCAGAACCCAGGCCCCAGCCAAAATCCAAAGAAGACCTTTAAATGCCCATCAAGAAGCCTGAAGAACTATTCCTGAAGTCTATTTAAAAAAAGGGCAAAGAAATCTGCCAAAGATAGTTCAAGCCACATAGAAGAATTAAGCCAGTCCTATCAAATACGAAAGTCTGTTTTTGCCTTAAGTACGATATTTCCATTCATTTCAATAAATGAACCTAAATCTAGTGAAGTAGTTTATGCTCAGAAGTTGCCTCTGAAGGTATTCAGACTGGTATAGATGATTATTTTAGATGAAGACGACTTAAATTTCAGGCATACAGCCTTTATCAACA